TGTGGCTTTTCTTCCCTCTCCTTTCCCTCATTATGTTCCAATATTGATGGTATTGCCACATTTAAGGGATGCACATGTGTCTGACTCTGATGACTGCACATTTTTAGATGTGAAGCTCACCAAAGACCACAGTCCTCCTAGAGGCTCACACAACTTCTACCAAACTGAGAAATGAATTCAGCCTGGATTTTTTTTTTAAGTAAGCATAAATAGGTATTGACTGAGAACTTTATAAGGTTAGCCTGAAAAGACCCCAAAGTTTTCAGCCCAGCTGTGTCTACCAGAGGAGATTCAGCAGCATTTTGTGCAGGAACAATGAAGCTGGCACAATTTGGTGACTTGGCAACTTAATGAAGTTCAGTTGAGGAGCTGGGCTGCTTCTGTTCTGAGAGTGCTGGGTCCAGCTTTAGCCTGCTGTGCCTTTGGGCAGGAAGGGGTCTCTGCCTATCCCCAGTCTGAAAAGACCCGAGTTTCCAGCCTATCAGCATCCTGTTCTTTTAGAGTTTTGTTGTGGTGTTGGGTTGTGTTCCCCCAACATTGTTACCTCTGACAAGGTACAAGGCAGACACCCAGTTTGCTTGAGTTTTTAAACACTTCCTTTGCCCCACATGAAAATCTGATCTATTTTTTGATCAGTGTGGTGATATATACTTACAGATTTTCTGGGGTTGAGGTATCTCGTATCTCTTTGTAAAATCAGTTCTACATGATTTAACATTTTCTTATTTTTAGTACACCTAGGATAGTTGAAATTTTTTGCAAGAAATTTCAACTATCCTAGGTGTATTAAAAGAGCCTACTTATCTAATTTGTATGCCTCTGAACTTGGAATTAATGAATACTTCATTTTCACAGAAGTAATGATTTGGTGTGTGTGTGTGTATGTGTGTGTGTGTGTGTGTGTGTGTGTGTTTCCTAATACAACTTAGGTAAGTAAAATAGGCCTTAAGTTCCTTGGAATTTTTTTTTATATTTTATTTTCATAAAATAGTTCAGTAGTTCATTGCAGATAATGTTCCAACACCAATCCCACCACCGAGCACCTTCCCACCACAATAAGAGGGAAGTGTTTGAAGGCTGTTGTATTTCATTCTGGAGCCATTTAAGCCCTTATATAAGAGAATACAAGCACGTATGTTAAAAACCAAACAAATGTGTGCTACTTTTGGTACATAAGTGGGCTAGAGGTCGCACAGCCACCCTCGAATGCACCAGAAGCTCCTGGAAATTCTGTGTCTCTCTCTTCCAGGAGCTTTGGGTTATAGTCTCTAGATCTTAGCCTTTGATGAGATTACGTGGGGCCAGGGGAAGTTTGTGGGTGGGCTGCCAAGCTACTGGAAAACTGGGGACCTATGGGGAGGAGGCCCCATCCCAATCCGAGCGGGCTTGGAGATCTCAGTCTTGAGTTCCCATATCTGGGTTCCTCTGCCGGTTCCTTCCTGGGTGAGGCTCGTCTGAGCGTGTGGAGAGTGGCCTTGAGCATGGCGGCAGTTGGTTTCTGGAGTTTTTTGGCTGCTGGGGTTCTGCTTGGGGCGGGGAGGGAAGCTCAACCCGCTCTGCTCCACGGTACCCCAGTGAAGACAGCGTGGCGTGGACATTCTGGACATTCTGCCAGTTCCTTGGAAATTTAGGGGAACTCAAAATCATATGAACCTAGTATTTTTAACCTTTAATACAAATATGAGTTGTAATGTGCTGCCCAGAATTCAACCTCGGTCAACTGTTTACATGGTAAGCACATTCTCTGCAGTACTGTCTGGCCCCAGTGTTTTTCTTGGTGTTCTTTATCAGTATATTCAAAACTCTTAAGTACTGGTATAGTCATGTCCCACATTTAATAACTATATGATTTCTCTTTGAACCCATGGGTAGTTTAGTTTCTCAGCATAGGGTTACTTTTTACTAGTTTTTTAATTTACTTGTTTGTAATAAGGTCAGATCTTTAATCTAAATAAAATGGACCTTTAACTGCTTTTCAGGCTTACTTAAATATTTTCCTTGGTTGTGTTCTTTAAGAAACTTTGAGAATGTGAGAATGCTTTCAGAGTCGTGTGTATGGTAAGTATGCCATTGTGTTGTTACTTTTATCAGTATTACCATTATTCATCTTTGGGAGTGGGCTAGAAACTGTTTATTGGATATTAAGATTGCTATCATAGCTTTATATGCCCTTTGTTTTTAAACTGTTTTGTTTGTTTGTTTGTTTGTTTGTTTTTATAAATCTATTAAGTCACCGTGAGACCAGTTACAAAGCTTTCAGTTTAACTCTCGGTCATAAAATGATGAAACACCCGTCCCTTCACCAGTGCACATTTCCCACCACCAAAAACCCCAGTATACCCCCCCATCCCACCCCCCTCCCCTACCTGTGTGGGAGATGGTTTGCACATTATTCTCTCTACTTTGATCACATTCAATATTTTGACACCAGATCCACCATTATTATTTGAGATTTTATCCCAACACTCACATCTGCCGTAAAGGCAACATTAGACAATTTGTTTTCTATTGCTGATAACGAATGGTATACAATGTCATTCATTATCAGCAGATTTTGGAATTCTGAAATCTTAATGATTAAATCTGGAGGGATTTCTGCCAAAAGTCGCTGGGTTGTGAGATTTATTTCTGAGTCCCTGAGATCATGGTTTAAGCCACTTGTTGAGTAGCCAAAGGACTCGTTTGTGGGCAGTGACTTGGGGTCTCGTTGGGGCCCGGAGGAAAGGGCCGGCCCCACCCCATCCCATGAGACGCCCCGCATGTCTCCTCATTGCAGACCCCTACCTGGCTGTCCATTGGCCTTTGGAAGATGGTGGGCCCCGAGCCACCAGTAAACTGTTTTATTTCTCATTTTTGGTTTGTTTTTGTTTTACTTGTTTTGGGGACACACTCAGTTTTTTCTCTGGGCTTAGTTCTGGCGCTGTCTGTACTCGAGGATCAAACCCACTTGGAAAGCAAGAACCCTACCAGCTGCTGTACTATCACTTCTGCACCTATGTCCTTTTTTTTTTTAACTTTTTTATTGAATCACTGTGAGATAGATGATTACGAAACTGTTCATGATTGGATTTCAGTCATACGATATTCCAACACCCAACCTTCCATCAGTGTACATTTTCCAGTACCAGTGTCCCCAGGTTCCCTCCCATCACTCCTCCCGCCTGCCTTTATGGCAGGCACTTTCTCTCTCTCTCTCTCTCTCTCTCTCTCTCTCTCTCTCTCTCTCTCTCTCTCTCTCTCTCCCCCGCCCCTCCTTCCTTTTAGTATGTTATTAAATCTTTTTTTAAAATCCAGTATGAGGCTTGCTTTTAATTTTATATTTACTTGGATTTATTATAATTCTTGTCATATTAGTACTTTTTTTTTGTCCCTGTAGTCAAAGGACCACAAACTGGTGACCCAGCAAGAATTTTAGCATCTGGCAGTTCTACAATCAGGACAGGTCCCCTATCTCATAAAACTAATCCCTGTGATCACCTAAAGGTAAGAAGATTTTCTTTTACAGATTTCTATCTAGAGTTCTGGGTTATAAAGGGGATTTACTTTAGAAGTTTCCTGGGCTAGAACAGCTTACCAAAAACAAACAAACAAAAATTCCCCAGGTGTATAAGAGCAGGATTAAAATGTTAAAATGTTACCAGGCTCAAGATTAATACCCAAGAATAGCCGAGATCGGTACCAGGAGGATTACTTCATGGCTTAGAGGCCAGCTGGGCATTCTAGGGGAAAGGGCAGCTCAGATAGAGAAGGGAGCGCCAAATAAAGGGTGTTTGGAGGATTCTCCCAGGATGGGAGATGCGTGTTGAAAGTAGCCTATGGACCCAACATGATTGCCACTCAGTGCCTCGTTTGCAGACCACAATACCCAAAAGGAGAGAGAAAACAAAAGGGAATGCCCTGCCACAGAGGCAGGGTGGGATGTTGGGGAGGGGGGTGGAGGGTTACTGGGATCCATGGTGGTGGAAAATGGGCACTGGTGGAGGGATGGGTATTTGATCATTGTATAATCGAAACCCAAGCACAAAAATTTGTAAATCTACAACTGTATCTCATGGTGTTTCACTAATAAAAATAAATAAATAAATAAAATGTTACCAGTCTCTTTTTTCCAATTTTGTGATTGTCAGAGTCATTCCCAGTACAAAAATGTGCCTTAAAGATATTAGAAAGAGTTAAGAAAGCCCATTTGATTTCTTGTTCAGCATCTGTGTTCTTGAGTACTGTATCTTGGACAGTGTTATTACCCATTTCCTAAAGACATATTATCATGTCTTTAGTCTACTCATTCACAGGTTAAGGCTGCCTTTCCAATTAGTCTGACAACTAAGTCACTGACTTCCAAGATATCTGCACAACCTCCAGAGAACACTGGATTCCTCTATACTTGACAGCTCAACCCCACCGTTCTCCCAGTGGACAATGAAAGCAGCCACTGAGTTTATTTTCGTGACCAAGTAGGTAAAATTTTCCTGTTGGTAAAACAATACACAGTGTTTCTTCATAATACCATGACCAGTTGAGACCATGCCAAGAAAATCATCTTGTCTTCCTAAAGTCTCTTCTTGGATAGCCAGGATTTGAAGAAAAGACCGATCTATACCACTGGTAATTGACTTAACACTTTAACACACTGAGCTGGTTCTAAGAACTGAACTGAAATGCTTTCTTTGTGAGTGAAGAATATGCAGCATGATAATCTGAAGCAGCATGATAATCTGAAGAACCAAACAGTGATGTGAGCCAAAGGCATATATTACATGTGTTAGAAACTAAGGAACAGAGCAATTAATCTTATAAAGCTTTTTCTTTTGTTTCTATTTAACAGTGTTTTACTAGCTTAGTTCATTTTTTGGTAGTTTATTCTTTTTTGTTATAATGGGTTCCTCTCCTGGCCAGAATCAGATAGTGAGGAAGAGGAAAATTTCTACCAATTTCGAGGGTGTTAATCCTCTGAAGAAGAGGAGGACCCTTGGGGGCCTGAGCTATTAATTCATCTTAAGAGTCTTGCCTGGCAATTAAGTGCTTTTTTAAAATACTCTACAACATGGAGACCTTTGAGTCATAATTCTTGGTTATATCATGGTAAACTCTTAGATCCAAGAACACCAGTCCATATACTTTGAGAGATAGGTCTAAGACTTTCCTATTGCTCCAGTTGTCTTCCCAAATTTGAATCAGCTCCAGAATGGCCCCCTTTGGCTTCTTGTGGTGTCCCACCTTTTCTAAAGCCCCTTACCAGTCCTAGTGGGCTTTCTAGAGTACATGCATCTTTAAATACTGCACTACAATTTGCCACAGACAGTTAAGTCAAACATTGATCAGGGCAAGACCCATACCTGAATTTCTAAAACAGATCCCAGGTAATTGTGTTTCTGGTTGTTGCTGTGACTGGTTAACTAAAACAGCTAAGGAAACAACTTGCATTGAACCCATGAATACTACTTACTCTCATACTGACTTCCAAGAGGCAGTTAAACTACTTACTAAATTACTGTAGAGATCCACCAGTGCTCTGGTTCCTCTCCTGTTCCTGATTTAGAAAGAAGTATTAAGTCTACAGTTAAGAAACTATTGCTTTTCTCAGCCAAACTATACCCCATCCTAACCAACTGGATTACTAGCAAGACAGGTGGGGAGAGATCTAGGTGGCAGTAGAGCACTGGCATGTGTGAGCATCCATGTTCAATTCCCAGCACTGAAAGAAAAAAGAAAAAACACAAAGTACCACTGAGTATTAAAAATAAGCCATCACATACCCCCTCTATAGAAAACTTGCATTTTGAACATTTCACTTTGATAGGCCCTATGAGTAAGATGATGACTTCAAATGGGGGATGAGTCAAAAGTTCCTGTACTGGATAAGGAACTCCTGTTTCGTGTTCTCCACATTCAGCTCTTCTATGCCCCTACCCCATCCACTCTATTTAAGTGGACTGTCCTAAAATAACCTAATTTTGTTTGTTGTAGAGGGAGAAGTAGGCCACTGCCCCTAAACAGGTTGCTACCCATCCTCCCAGTAACACCTTCCCAGTCACTCAGACATTAAATTTTATTATTTTTTTCCCTTTATTTTATTTTATTTTATTTTTTTTACAGTTGTAGATTTACAATTTTTTGTGCTTTGGTTTCAATTATACAATGATCAGATACCCATCCCTCCACCAGTGCCCATTTTCCACCACCATGGATAATATCCCTCCCACCCCCATCCCCCCATCCCCCCTGTCTCTGTGGCAGGGCAATCCCCTGTGTTCTCTCTCTCCTTTTGGGTGTTGTGGTCTGCAAAAGAGGCATTGAGTGGCAAACATGTTCAGTCCATAGTCTACTTTCAACATGCATCTCCCCTCCTGGGAGGATCCTCCAAACATCCTTTATTTGGTACTCCCTTCTCTATCTGAACTGCCCTTTCCTCTAGGATACCCGCTGGCCTCTAAGTTATGGAGTAATCGTTCTGGTGCTGATCTCAGCTATTCTTGGGTATTAATCTCATACTTTGTTACTTTATATCCCCCAGATGAATGCAATCTTTCTATGTCTATCCCTCTCTTTCTGACTCATTTCACTTAGCATGATACTTTCCATATTGTACCACTTGTATGTAAATTTCATGACTTCATCTTTTCTAAGAGCTACATAGTACTCCATTGTGTAAATGTACCAAAGTTTCTTTAACCAGTCATCTGTTCTTGGGCATTCAGGTTTCTTCCAGTTTCTGGCTATTGTAAAGAGTGCTGCAATGAACAAACAAGTGCAGATGTCACTTCGACTATACATTTTTGCCTCTCTGGGATATATTCCCAGGAGTGGTATTGCTGGGTCAAATGGGAGCTCAATTTCTAATTTTTTGAGAATCGTCCATACTGTTTTCCAGAAGGGCTGAACCAGTGGACATTCCCACCAACAGTGAAGGAATGTCCCTTTCTCGCCACATCCACGCCAGCATCGGTTGCTTTTGTTCTTTTGAATGTGGGCCAGTCTCTGAGGTGTGAGATGGTATCTCATTGTGGTTTTGATCTGCATCTCCCTGATGATTAATGATGTAGAGCATTTTCTCATGTGCTTTTTTGCCATTCGGATTTCTTCTTTGAGAAAGTTTCTGTTCATTTCATTGCCCCATTTTTGGATGGGGTTGGATGTTTTCTTCTTGTGGAGTTTAACCAGTATTTTGTATATCCTGGATATCAACCCCTTGTCAGATGTGTATTCGGTGAATATCCTTTCCCATTCTGTAGACTGTCTTTGTATTTTGGTCACTGTTTCTTTGGAGATGCAGAAGCTTCTTAGTTTAAGATAGTCCCATTTATCTATCTCTGTTTTCACTTGCTCGGCCAGTGGCGTGGCATCTTTGAAGATACCATTAGCTTCAATGTCATGGAGGGTTTTGCCAACTTTATCTTCAATGTACCTTATGGTTTCTGGTCTGATGTTGAGGTCTTTAATCCATTTTGATCTTACTTTTGTACATGGTGTTAGGCAGAGTTCTGAGCCTATTTTTTTGCATGTAGCCGTCCAGTGATGCCAACACAATTTATTAAAGAGGCTTTCCTTACTCCACTTCACATTACTTGCACCTTTATCAAAGATTAGATGAGCATATGATTGAGGGGAGATGTCAGTGTATTCAACCCTGTTCCATTGGTCTGCAGTTCTGCCTTTGTTCCAGTACCATGCTGTTTTAATTATTACTGCTTTGTAGTACAGTTTGAAGTTCGGGAGGTTGATTCCTCCCATTTTCTTTTTCCCAAGAATTGCTTTAGCTATTCGTGGGGGCTTATTGTTCCATATAAATTTCAGGAGTGTTTGCTCCATTTCTTTGAAGAATGTCATGGGTATCCTTATAGGGATTGCATTGAATTTATACAATGCTTTCGATAGTATTGCCATTTTGACAATGTTAAGTCTCCCGACCCATGAGCAGGGGATATCTTTCCATTTCCTCATGTCCTCTTTTATTTCCTGAAGTAGCGTTTTGTAGTTTTCTTTGTACAGGTCGCTTACTTCCTTAGTTAAGCTGATTCCTAGGTACTTGATTTTCTGGGGCACAGTTGTGAACGGGATTGTTTTTTTCATGTTGCTTTCTTCTCTCTCACTGTTTGCGTATAGAAAAGCCATGGACTTTTGGGTATTGATTTTATAACCTGCAACTTTACTATACGAGTCTATTGTTTCTAGGAGTTTTTTGGTGGAAGTTATTGGGTTCTCTAAGTAGAGTATCATATCATCTGCGAATAGTGAGAGCTTGATTTCTTCCTTTCCTACCTGAATGCCCTTAATATCTTTTTCCTGCCTAATCGCTGTTGCAAGTACTTCCAGTACTATATTGAACAGCAGTGGAGAGAGTGGGCATCCCTGACAGACATTAAATTTTAGATGAGTTTGACTAGTCACCATAACAGAGATATTATGGACTTATCTCCTAAATAAATGTATATATTGTGCATTTAATATATGTGTTTATATTGCACCTTATTTAATATATGTGTTTATATTGCACCTTATTTAATAGTTTCCGTTTTCTTTTGGAGGGGGAGTGCAGCTTTAAACCTGGCCTACACTACAGATCATTTCAGTATCTGTAGTTACAGCGTAAGTATTTTCTATCCGTCTCCCACCAGTTTATCTCTAGCTAAATTGACCTATAAGATCATATCTTGAGATTTGTTTTAAGTTGACAGTTACTCTGTAGGGAATGTGTTTCCTTTATCTTGCACAACCAAGCTTCAGTTAAGAGCAAACAAAACATTTCAAAACACTAATGGGAAAGGATTATCTTAGTGTATTTATGCTTTTGATATTGACTCCTGATGGATTAAAGTATTTTTTTGTTTCCTGGAGCAGCATTTTTATGCACTTTACCCACTGTAAATTTCTTAGGAATCTAACTTAAAATAACCTTACTCCAGAAAACCTAAGCCTAATACTAAGACTTAAAGAATTTTTATCATCTCTGCATTTCTCTACTGTTGGATTTCGATTATTCAGCTAAACAAGGAAGAGTTATGTGCCCATGTGAAAGAGTCATTCATAAGTAGATAGATAGATAGATAAGCCAAAACGTAGCAACATTTTTTTTAAACATGGGATCATTAAAGCTTATCAAACACCGATAATAGTGAAATCTAAACATTATTGAACATCTGAGGTGATCAGAAAATGGGTTTTTAAAGACATTTTTTTTTCTACTTTAGTTTGGCTTTTTTCTTGTTAGCCATATCAAAGTGCTGTGTGCAATGTAGCATGAAAAGAAGAGTCACAAATTCTTTTCATGTGTAGCAACTTGAAAGAGAAAGGAGAGTTGAATTTTTGCTGAGCCTTGTCTAAAAAGAATTGTGAATTGGAACCTGTCATTTTGTTAATGTACTGCTTGTATCAGAAACTTCTCGTGTAATGTTTAGTAAAAATGGTTTTACAAAAGCTTTTTTTTTTTTTACAGAAGTGGTGAGAGGAAGTACAGATATTCGGGAATTGAAATGTTTTGAAATTTTAATGTTTCTGTGACCATATAAGTTCCTGTGTGCAAAAGAGAACATGTATAAAAAGTAAACTTATTTTTTCTATTCTCACTGAAAAGAAGCCTTCCCCAGCTTTTCAGCTGAATAAACCAACAGCTTTATACATGCTGAACAGAGTATGGTTCATTTGTTTTGAACAAATAAAATAGATCCAGCTTTCCTTAAGTCATATTCACTAAGTGCTGAATAGTGGTGTCAATAGTTTATTGATAGAGATGACTTGGCAGCCTAAAAGGGAAATACTTGAAGAAAGTGTCAAACATTTGATCACAGCCCAGATTTAAACCCATTCGTTTGCATATGCTAAGGAATTTGGAACCAGAGCTACTAGTAATACAGCAGGTAGGCCTTACAGCAGGTAGCACGTTTGCCTTGCAAACAGCCTGACACCCCATTTGATCTTCCTGAATCCTATTAAAAGTGACCTTGCGCATAGAACCAAGAGTTTAGCCCTGAGCACCTCTGATTGTTGCCCACGAACCAAAGAGCAGGGGAGAGAGGGAACCTGGAAAAACCTTAAGCTTACTTGTTACAGATCATGGGCCAGTGAATCTACTACTTCCACACTTTACCTGTTTTACCTAATGTGCTTTTGGTTAAGCACATCACTATAATTAGGATGAAAAGAGTCAAATCCATCTTCTGGACAAAAATTGATTGAAGGGTTAAGGAAACAATTTCTAAACCAATAGTGCCGTTTAGTTTAAAAGGCAACCCTTATTTTGAAGCAGCCCAGATTCTTTGAGCACAAAAAGACCATAATTACATTTCAGTTGTTTTCTAAGAGGAGAAAATAATGGTAAGAAGGGGGTAAATATCAGGCTACCTTTAGAGGATTATCCTCCTGAGGGTCCCTGCACAACTATCCATCTAAAAATTGATGATGACTGTTTTGTTATTGGAAAGATTGTTAAAGCATTCAAGGTCATTCAGGTTAGTTTTCTTACTAATACCTAAATCCATAGATTCTTTTAAATCCCTAATC